CAAGGACTGTACTGTCTGCCTCTACAATATATTTTGGGAAACTATTAGGGACAGGCTGTCTTCATCCTCTTTCTCTCACACATAATATCTGTGCTGTGTTGCCTTGTGTTCCTTTGGAATAAGCCCCAATCCTTCTGAGGATCCATCTCCTCACTACATCCATCCCATCATCAAATTGGGAGAAAGAGGGAGTGAATTTCCCACAATGCCATGCCAACCATATCTTCAATGTGCTGTTGAGTTTCACCTGGGCAGGCCTAGTATTTTCCGCCTATAGCTGAAGGGGATAAAACCATCTTTGCATCCCTTCTTCATCTCACTGTCTTGCACACACTGGGAACAGGCTCCAAGCTGTTCTTCTTCTACCCCACTGATCTCTGACTCCAAAGGCAGCTGATAACTGTCAGGCTATATTGTCCATGCGTTGCTTTCAGCTCAAGTCCACAGGAAGCCATCTTAAATCGAACCCAACCAGGAAAACTTGCTATGTTTTCAGATTATTCTTTAAGAATAAAAAATAAAAGTCGGTAAACAGCCAACAATGTGGCAATTATATAAGTTCACCTTCTGAAATGGCGGCGGTCCCAGCTGAGACATTCCACACCTATAATCATTTTGAATTGTAGGATGAGATTATCTGCTGTCAATAGGAACTCTGCATTGGCTGAGTCAAAATGCATTTATCTCAACCTGAAAAGTTATTGTTCTGAGGCCAAAATGTCTCCAGTTCATATCTCTGCGCCTTTTTTTCTTTTTCCTATATATGTAGGCCATTAATTCTCTGCCTGAGTGTAGAGCAAAGCCTTCTGGCATTCGTGGATGAAAGAACCGTATATCTGTGGAGAGTTCCCTTGGCATATCTTTTCATTCCAGCAACAGCAAAACAAAATATTACCACCTGAGCTTTAATTCCCCAACTAATCCAATAAAGAATGGAGAAGGCTGCTTTGCCCTCTACCAATGTTCGTTTTGGGGTGCATTGAAGTTTGCACGTTCCACCATTGATCCGTCATTTTCTTGATGGTCTCCTCTGCCGAGGTAGCCAAGAAAGTCTATCACCAAGAAAAGAAGACAATCTGAACAAGCTTTGGATGAGAAGACCATGGTTCACAAGGCTCAGCAGAATCTTATTGGTCTCTTCTGTTCAGTCACCACTTCCCAAATAGCTTCGGCACCCCGAGTTTCCACATCAACCTTTGATGTAGAATTCAAAGAACTCCAACAGTAGAAATAATAGAAGGATTCTTAGAAATTCTTCTCTGGAACGGCAATCGAGGTGGAAGTTTGTCAGGAGTTAATAATGTCATAATCCCTATTTACAAAGGAAGTAAATGTCTATCTCCTTAGATTCATAGGCCTAGTGGTGGGATTCAGCCAGTTCACACCAATTCAGGAGAACCGGTTAACTTTCTAAGCAGTTTGGTGAACTGGTTGCTGGAAGAAATCATTATGGCAGAGAACCAGTTGTTAAGTTATTTGAATTCCATTGCATAGGCCTCACTATCAAGAAAGCTATCTTCACCTGTAGTCCATACCACCTACAGTTTATATTTCAGAAGAGATTTTCAAACATCACAAGACAAGACAAGACAGCTAGATGTTTTGGGATAGGCAGGTTCTCAGGTCCTTGAAATCAGTAGAATTTAAACCCCAACCACTGTAAATGCTTTATATTCAGAGATTCTGAAATCAAAAATATGAGGTTAAAAAAAGTCAACAAATCTACAAAACAATGTTTGTGGAACCGTCTTTGACCAAATCATTAGGCTGAAGATCAATACTCCTCAAATTCTGTTGGATCCAAAGAGAAGCACAACAGTTGGTTGGTTGGTTGGTTGGTTGGTTGGTTGGTTGGTTGGTTGGTTGGTTAGTTGGTTAGTTGGTTAGTTGGTTAGTTGGTTAGTTGGTTGCTTGGTTAGTTTATGTATTGAGGATTGTTTCCTTGCCTTCCTTTGGGAGGCAACAGTAACTAAACCGAAGCAATAAAACTGCCATAGAACTAAACACTGAAGCTGGTGTGGTGATTTATGATAACTTTGCTCAGACTTCAAAACTTTGGAGAATGTATCATTTTCATCCTTGGTTCTTATCTCAGTCCAACTGTGGGGAAATTACCTTCCACTGTCATCCTTATAAAATATTCCCCCGGGGTCTTCTTATTTATCACCCATAGATGATCGCGATTGCAATTGTGTTAGTGTTGGGTTTAGTTAACTACTTGCCTGCCTTCAGAATTGTGTCACGAAAGGTTAGAAAGAAATGAGGACACCAAGCATGGAAAAAAAATTTCCCTGTTTGCCACAAGTCCTCAGTTTGTTTAGTTTCGGGGGAGGGGCGAGGAAAGCATGCTTTTTTAAAAAAAAAAAACACAGTATTTTTAATGAACCAGTATTTATGGTTTGCTTTTTGAAGAACATGCATTCTGCCTTTAAAGTAAAACACCAGTAGGAAAAGCAGCTCCTGAAAAAGATTAAGATAACAGCATCGAAGTAAAATAAATCCTGAAAACAGCTTTTTAAAAGCATGCCATAAACTGGACAATTGCAACCGTTTCTAGACAGCAGAAATTAAAAAGGAGAAATAATGTTAATTAAACGTCTCCACTGAAGCATAGCAGAAGGTTAGCAGAATTGAGTGAATAAGAATACGTTGGCCTAGAGCGGGTTGGGTGGGAAATCCAATCATATATAAACCTGGAATGACATTTTGGGGAGGGTATTTCAGCTCTCAGTGGAGCATTATTGGGAAAACTTTTCTCCAATTATGCATCGTGAGAAGACCATCCAAAGAAGAACCTAACGATTATCCTGACTAACATGAATATATGGGAATAGCGTCCTAGGGGTGGAAAGGTACCTGGGGGGAGGGGTCTATTCACTGAAGCCTACTCACCCTGTCCAACTCATGCAAGACAACTCGCCATGCAACAAGAGTTACACTGATATCAAAGAAATGGTGGGATACAATCATTAAAGAAAGGATGCGAAAGGAAGGACGACATGAAATGTGAACGACGAAAATTCAAATATTTTTAAAAATTATTTTAAATAATTACATTTAATTGCTGAATCATCCCACCACAAGTTGTCCCATGGTGAGTTGGCCATGGTGAGTTGGCTGCAGCGAATTTTTTTCATTCCAACCTTGGAAATCTTCTATTCCAACTCCATGCCCAAGGCAGTAGACCTTGTCCACCAAGGATAAGTGGTTGTCCAATCTTTTCTTGAAGACCTCTAGTGATGGAGCACACCCACAGCCTCTGGAGGCAAACCGTTCCATTGATTAATTGTTCTCATTGTTAGGAAATTTCTCCTTATTATCAGATACTAAATCTTCCCTTGATTGAGCTTCCATTCATTGTTTCTTGTTCTATGGAGAATAAACAAACACCCTCTTCTTTGTAGAGGTCCTTCAAAAATTGGAAGAGGACTGTGAAGTCTCCTCTAAACCTTTTCTTAAATAGGCTGAAGTGATCACCAAAAGATTACCAATTCCGCTGTTTCATATTTGATAGGCTGCATAATATTTGCTTTCCAGAAGTTATTATTGGCAGGAGCTTTGGTGAGGAATAGCCAAAGTTTGAATGTAAAGCTACTTTTGAAGGCAATTTAGATTTTGAGAAACATCAAGGTAAGGAGAGTTTTGGTAAACCTGAAGTGTTTTTTCAGAGAAGATCTAGAGGGATTGAACTGAAGTTGTGCCTGGAAGGAACTTTGGGTTCTCCCTTTTAGAGAATATTTTGTGTAATTTCTCTACTCCAGGTATTGATAGTGCTGCCTACAATTCTCAGAAGATTTCTGTACATTTTTGACACCTACATGAAATCTGAAGGAGGCATGAATATTATTCCTTAGGCCAAATATCCAAATAATGTTCAAGTAAAACTAGGGTACAAGTGAAATTAGTTAAATGTCTTGTGTATGTGTGTGTGTGGGGGGGGCGTGAATAGGAAGGTGAGAAAGGAAAGGAAAGAGAGGAGATGAGAGGAGAGAGAGGGGGGCAGGAGGGAAGAAGAGAAGAGGAGGGAAAGAGAAGAGAAGAGAAGAGAAGAGAAGAGAAGAGAAGAGAAGAGAAGAGAAGAGAAGAGAAGAGAAGAGAAGAGAAGAGAAGAGAAGAGAAGAGAAGAGAAGAGGGAAACAAGGGAAGGGAGAGGAGAGGAGAGAGAGAAGAGGAGAGAGAGGAGGAAGAGGAGGGAAGGGGAAGGAAAGAAGAGAAGAGAAGAGAAGAGGAGGGAAAGAGGAGAGAAGAGGAGAAGAGAAGGGAATGAGAAGAGAAACAAGGGAGGGGAGAGGAGAGAGAGACAGGAGAGAGAAGAGAGGTGGGAGAGGAGAGGCGGGCAGGGGAAGGGAAAGGAAGGGAGAGGGAGAGGAGAAGGGAAATGAAGAGAGAATATCCAAATGGCTTTGCATTTCATGCTGGTATGTTTTACATTCTCCTAATCCTGCTTCCCCCCTCCCCAAACTCCATCTATCATCATTTCTTAAATGCTTCTTAATTTAAATTTCTTTCAAAGAACTACATTCATGAAACAATGGCTTGTGTGGCAAGCAGAGAAGGCATGTTTTAGGAAGATTAAAGGGGGCTGAAAAGCAACAACCATTGTTGCAATCTTGAGAAGCCCAGGCACTATCATGCCTCACTTATGAGAGGAACGTGTGATGGTTCACCTATACATTTCCTTTAATGCTGGGTGGGCCACAATTAATACTCTTAATTTTTCATCTTGAACACTTGGCAGAGTCAAATATCATTCCAATGTTTCTAGCCACACAAGATTGCTACTCAGGCCTTGAAAGTTGGAGGAGGAGAGAAGGCAAAGAAGAAAGAGGAAAAGGAGGAGGAGAAAGTATTCGTAATTAATCTCATTTATTACTCATTAATCATCACGAATCATTTGCAAAACAAAGGGCTGTCTTTCAGCAGAGCACCAAAGCCAACCTACTACAGTCTTCTAACTAAATCCTGGATTGAATAACGGAATAACGGAATTGGAAGGGACCTTGGAGGTCTTCTAGCTCCAACCTCCTACTCAAGCAGGAAACCCTAGACCATTTCAGACAAATGGTTGTCCAGTCGCTTCTTAAAAACTTTCAATGTTGGAGCACCTACAACTTCTGAAGGCAAGTTGTTCCACTGATTGTTCTCACTGTCAGGAAATGTCTCCATAATTCTAGGTTGGCTCTCTCTCCTTGATTAGTTTCCATCCATTCCTTCTTGTCCTGTCTTCAGGTGCTAAGCAGCCATTTAGACATCAATCCCATCTTTAGTGCAAGAATCCAAATGCCCAAGAACCCAAGATAGAGCTGTCCAGCTTCTCCCTGAGCTCATCTGTGAAGGAACCACATTAACTCCATGAGTAACAGAGACCATGATCTAACTGGCTTCATTCAAAGAATGTTCTTCTCTCAAATGATAGACCTGGGTTTCTCCACCTTGGCAGCTTGAAGATGGATGGATTTCATGCTGGCTAGGGAATTCTGGAATTTGAAGTCCACCCTTCTTCAAGATTGAGGAAAACTGATAGACCATATTGCTGGATCTTGTTCTGAAAACAGCACTTGACTAGGTCTCCCACGTCTTCTCCATTTTCAAACCTAAATGGACCTCATCTTTCCTTGTATAGTTTAGCTTTCAACCCCATCAATATCCTTTCACTTTTTTTTTTTTTTGAGTCCATTCCAGTTTGTCTGCCATCCAAGTCTTCCCAAAGCTTTAATGTTCTCCACCTGTTTTTGATTCGGTTCAGGGATGCTCATTCTTCAGAAAAGAATTGAGAATCACAGAATGATGTTTAATCATCTGCCGTAACAAGACTTTGATGTATGTGGATCGCGGATTGCAAAAGACTCTTTTGTGGTGCCTTCTTCTGGAGAGTCGACCAAAGAAGACAAATATCTCTTTGTCTTCCCTTAATAGCTTCTGAAAGAGCCAAAGGGAAATTAGAAAAAAGTTCACTGATTGAACCACTTGGGAAAGTTGTCCCCTCCTCCTCCTTCATCTTGGTTTAAATAAATTGCAAGGGAGATTGCAATAAGACGCAAACAAATCATCAAGGTCTCCTCATTACAGGAAACAATCTCTTTCATTACTCATCGATTCAAGATGCATTACTCTGTGACACAGGTAAGTTGAAGCTTGTTGCTTTTGCCCGATGGTTGCCTAGGACCATGGGAAATAAGGTCATTTGCAAGCATCCCCAAGAATCAGATGACTTTCCAGACAGGTAGAAAACCATTTCATCATGGCCTCATGCTTTGAGTTTTATTTCCATCTGGCCTGTCTTCCCTGGTAGAACTTAAATACACCGTTCTTTCTTAAGTCAGCCCTTTGAGGTGGGGTAGGTTGGGAAACAGGAATCACTAGGATTCTGGAAATATTTCTTAATATGTTCCTTCTCCATAGCACCTCTAAGCAGGAGAAGAAGCAAAGATTAGATTAGAATAGGAATAGGAATAGGAATAGGAATAGGAATAGGAATAGGAATAGGAATAGGAATAGGAGTAGAGTAGAGTAGAGTAGAGTAGAATAGAATAGAATAGAATAGAATAGAATAGAATAGAATAGAATAGAATAGAATAGAATAGAATAGAATAGAATAGAATAGAATAGAATAGAATAACAGAAGGGACCTTGTAAGTCTCTTCTTGAAAGCTTCCAGTGATGAAGCTCCAACAACATCTGAAGGCAACTTCTGTTCCAAGGGTTGATTGTTCTCACGGTCAGAAAATTTCTCCTTATTTCCAGGTTGAACCTCTTCTTGGTCACTTTCCATCCATTACTCCTTGTCTGGCCTTCTGGTGCCTTGGAAAATAGCTTGACCCCAATGGGTGGAAGCTCATCAGGTGAAGATCCAACGTGGAACTAAGGAGGAATTTCCTGACAGTGAAAACAATGAATGAACGGAATAGCTTAGAATTGTGAGTGCTCCATCATTGGCTGTTATTAAAGAAAGATTGGACAATGATGTGTCTGGGATGGTTTGAGGACTCCTGCCAAGCCCTGTGATTCTATGATTCTATGTTCTGACCTAGACCTTCCCAAGATCATGAAGCCGGCTCCTCATCCCGATAAAACCCCTTTTATTTAGGTTAAAGGAAATTCATCTCCAGCAAAGACCCGGCAAACAGACTTTTATGAGATTTCACAACTACAGATCTTTATCAGGTTTGGAGTGTTGCCAGGCTGATATCTTCCATATGCCACGCTTGTAGCAGCAATTACTTGGCAAGAAGTCAGGAACTAATTAGGAACTTCGTCCTAATGAATTGAAACTGATTGCAAATACAACTCCCCCTTTCACTCCTCTTTTATTCCCTATGGGAGGGGCCATTGACTGTTCACCTGTTCCTTTACTCCCGAGATGACCCTTGTTCCTTAACTGTTCCCTTCTCCAGGCAGCTCTGCTCATGCGCACTTCGGGAACAGGCTCCAGCTGTTCTTCTGCCCCACTGATCTCCGACTCCAAAGGCAGCTAATAACTGTCAGGCAGAACCTTCCCCAGACTCCAGGACTGGCCCCTGTTCCTCCCCAGTCTCCTCACTGTCCAAGTCTGCCACCAGCTCCACTGGCCACTGGCGGCCACAACAGGTTCTGTGATTCTACATTAGGGTAGCATAACAGAATAAAGAAAGGCCCCTCTTTACCTCAACGTATACAGAACACAATCAAGGCGGCGTTGTTTCGAGTATGTTTTTCACCCTTTCTGCTTTCCCAAGGACCGAGATATCTTCTCTCTAATAGCTTTGGCATTTTCCCCTCCCTTCTCTGCTCAAACCATCATTATGATCAGCGCCTCCTATGCCTACAGGGAATGCCACGGGGAGACCTCAGCTAGTCATTAGGATGCCACACTGCTCTGTGCCAGCCTGCTCTGAAAGTAATAATTTATTCTCATCGCAATGTTATATAGGTTCTCCACCTGAGAAATGCCCTGACCATACTAAGCATTAATCTGACAACTGGTAGTGTTCTAGGGCAAATCATAGCATTTACCTTGTCAGGTAGAAATCAGGGAAATATTGATATTTTTCCTCTGTGGTCACCATTCTTATTCCCCCCATGAAGTTTTCCTTTTTTTAAAAAAAAATCAGGGTAGAAGATGTTGTCTCAAGTAAAACTCCACCCCTTAGCCGCCGGACAAGTCTTGAAAAGACAAAACCAATTAACAAACAGAAATAAATGAACTTCGGAAGATAAAAGGCGTAGAAGAATAGTGAAGAAGATGCTACTTAACCAACAAGTGCAAACAAGCCTGTTAGATTTGTTTGTTTGAAGTGGAGGAAGAAAGTGTAGGTTCTTTAGTGCACTGCCTGTAAAGAAAGATGGACTGCTACTAATTGCTGCTTAATCAGTGGGTTATAGTAATTATAATGTGTACTTCCTACTCTATAGTTTATTACTCTGAGTTGGTTTAGAGAAAATAAAAAGAAGCAGAAAAGCTTAATGCTGGCATATAATTTGTGGAGCCAATGTTAATTTACAGAGTTCTTCGTTGGAAATAGTTTTTGCTTTCTGAAATTACAGCCCACAACGGAGCCCAAAATTCTAAAGTGCTAAAGTGAGACGGTTGTGAGGTAAGTTTTGCCCCATTTATGACTTTTCTTGACACAGCTGTTAAGTGACTAACACGGTTGTTAAGCGAATCTGGCTTCCCCATTGTCTCTGCTTGTCAGAAGGTGTTCTGACCCCAACCCTTGTCCAATAAAAAAAAAAAACACGCCATACTAAGGAGGCTGCACTATAATACAACTCCCAATTTGGAAGTGCCAGCCCTCCCTTGCTCTTCATATCCTGCATTGCCTTTAAATTTATTCTAGGTTTTTTCCCTTGCCAGATAAATTTTACAGTTATTTTATTAAGTTATTCCCCCCAAAAATTGTGTACTTTGATTGGGATCGTCTGAAATATATATAGGAATTTTGGAAGAATATTCATTTTAATAGCAGCAATCCTGCCTAATAATGAAAGTTGCAGCTTGCCCCATGTTTTTAAATCCTTTTTTGCCTGTTTCATCAATTTATCATAATTATTTTCCTTAAGTGTCTTACAATGTGCTGTCAACCATATTCCTAAGTATTTAGCTTTCTTTATCACTTGTATTCCCATAACTTCTTCTAGTTCTATTTTCTGTTTTTCTGTTAAATTTTTAGTCATTAATTTTGTTTTCTTCCTATTAATTTTAAGTCCTGCTACTGCTCCAAATTGTTCTAATTCATTCATCAATTTTTGTCCTCTTTCTATTGGTTCCTCAATGAAAAAAATCATATCATCCGCAAACGCTTGCAACTTATATTCTTCTTTCTTAACCTTTAATCCTTTTATGTCTGGGTTCTGTCTAATTGGCTTTTGCACAATGTGGGAAGCAGCCTCATGTTCCATCAGAGGAGATGATCATTCAAAAAATTTCAAGTTGTGCAGAAATGGACAAATTAACTTTGGCATTAAAAAATAAAGACACTTCAATATACTACAACAGCTGGAACTGCTGGTACAAATGGATAGACCAAAGATAGACTTCACACTAAAAGGCAAAAGAGGATAGGACAAATCCATAGTAGTGATACACAGATATTAGGTGTGTGTATATGGCATAAAATAAGGATAAAAAAGAGGTCTTACAAACTGTTGAAGATGAGAATGTTTTTAATTGTTTTCTATTTTTTTCTTTCTATTTTCTTCTCCCTTTCTTCTTTTTCTCTCTTTCATTTATGTATGTGTTGTTGGTTTGTTTTAATTGTAAAATCAATAAAATGTATTTAAAAATAAACAAAAAAGCCATGAACCAAAGGGAACCTTTTAATGATTCTTACAAATCCCCGGTTAAAAAGACTGCTGCAAACTAATTAACTTTGATAAGCACGAGCCTTGCCAAAACTGCGTGAGGCTGCCAAGAATAACAGATAAGAAATATTTTACGACACAAGAGTCTTCAAATACCAACTTAAGATACTGCAATGTCCACGAGACTGGAGTTTCAAAATGTTTTTGCTTTCTGCAAAGAACATCCAATTCACAGCTAGCTTTTATCCTCTTGAAGGAGGGGCCATTACCATGCAGCCTTACTCCTGAGTTGCCTGTGCAGCTGCTCTTTCCTGGGAGCAGCCCTGTGCACATGCGCGCTAGGCACAGGCTCCTCGGGAACCTCTTCATCGCTGCTGCCAGTCCCCACAATCTCTGAAGGCAGCAGTCCACTCCCTAATGGTCCTGGCCTCTCATCTGAGTCTTCGCTCTCCTCAGCTGTCCACACCTGCTGCCGGCTAACCACAACAGAAGGTCACAAAAGGGATCACGTAACTCTGGAATGCTGTAACCATCGTAAGTATGAGCCAGTTGCCAAACCATCTGAATTTTGATGACATGACCATGGGGATGCTGGAATAGTCAGATGTGTGAAAAATGGTCCTAAGTCACTTTTTTCAGTGTCGTTGTAACTTTGAACGGACACTAAATGCCTCCCAATGGTGTACGGTCTTCTGCTTAGGCGGAGGGTTGGACTAGATGACCTACTAGGTCCCTTCCCACTCTGATTATCCATAGAACTTATCTGAAAGAGACAAGTTGTTCCACTGATTAATTGTTGTCACTGTCAGGAAATTTCTCTTTAGTTCTAGGTTGCTTCTTTTCTTGATCAGTTTCTATTCGTTGCTTCTTATCCTACCTTCTCCAAGGCACTCGAAGACCAGACAAGAAGCAATGGATGGAAACTAACCAAGGAGAGAAGCAACCTGGAACTAAGAAGGAATTTCCTGACAGTCAGAAGAATCAATTAATGGAATGGGTTGCCTCCAGAATTTGTGGGTGCTCCATCACTGGAGGTTTTTAAGAAGAGACTGGACAACCGTTTGTCTGAAATGGTATAAGCTCTGTGGCCTGAGTAAGGGGTTGGACTAGAACAGGGGTCGCCAACCTTTTGGACCTCATAATTTTAAATCCCCGGGACCACTAATATGGGCAGGTGGGCCAAAACAGCAGCAGACATAGAACCGGTTCTATGTATGCTCTCTGTTTGCTGCTTTTCATAGCAACCGGTTCTACAGAAGTGGACAGAACCGGTGGAATCCCAACCCTGGTTAGGAGACCTCTCCACCAGACTGAGCCCCTTCACTTCCACTTCTGCCTGAACCCTGGGTGATTATTGATTTTCTTTTGCCCATTTTTTAAAAAAAAACAGGAAAGCATCTTCTATTCTAAAGAGTCTCCCAAATATGTCATCCAGCTCTGTTCCCCTGACAAGCGATACGCAATTGCTATCTATTTATATCTCACCTGATGCCTCCATGTTTTCAAGAGAAGTGCTTAGAAGTTGGGCTGTCAGCAAAAGTCTCGTTGCCCCTCTTGTGATGAATCGCAATGAGTTTATTCTCAACTTGACAGAACAATCTCACGAAGGAAAGCAGAGAAGCGGGCGAGCAAGAAAAAAAGGAGGTAGAACAACGAAAAGTGTAAGATCTGAAACTTTGGAGTCCAATATACTGTAAAGGTAAAGGTTCCCCTCGCATATATGTGCTAGTCTTTTCCAGCTCTAGGGGGTGGTGCTCATCTCTGTTACAAAGCCGAAGAACCAGCGCTGTCCGAAGACGTCTCCGTGGTCATGTGGTCGGCAGGACTAAACGCCTTTCAAGGCGCATGGAACACTGTTCCCTTCCCACCAAAGTGATCCCTATTTTTTTACTCGCATTTTTTACATGCTTTCGAACTGCTAGGTTGGCAGAAGCTGGGACAAGGAACGGGAGCTCACTCTGTGGTGTGGCACTAGGGATTCGAACCACCAAATTGCTGAACTTTCTGATTGACAAGCCCAGCGTCTTAGCCACTGAGCACCGAGGATGGTCTAAATCAACTTTCTCTCTTGGACAGATTTGTTCAATTCTCTTGGCATTTTGTTCATACGTTAGGTTGCAACAACCAACAGTTGTCCCGTAAAGAATCTCTGGCCACTGGGGCTTCAGGAATTGGGTATATCTAGCCTAATGACAAGAAGAACTAAGCATGACATGATGCATTTCAGTGTTTAAAGAAGAGGGGGTCAAACCTATTCTCCAAAGCACCAGAAGGCAGGACAAGATGCAACCGATGGGAACTAATCAAGAAGAGAAGAAACCTGAAATTAAGGAGAAATTTCCTAACAGGAAACTTCCTAACAATTGACCAGTGGAACAGAAGTTGCCTCCAGAATTCGTGGGTGCTCCATCACTGGAAGTTTTTAAGAAGAAACAGGAGAGACGCTTGTCTGGAATGGCATAGGTTGGACTAGAAGACCTTCAAGGTCCCTTCCAACTCTTGTTATTCTGTTAAGAAGGGCTGGACCATTTCTAAACAAAATTTGGGGTTTTCAATGCTTCAGATTAAACTTGGTAATCCCAGGTCCATTATGATTAGAATAGAGTAGCGTAGCGTTGCATAGCGTTGCATAGCGTAGCATAGAATATCAGAATAGAAATAGAATAGAAAGCAGAATGGAATGGAATGGAATGGAATGGAATGGAATGGAATGGAATGGAATAGAATAGAATAGAATAGAATAGAATAGAATAGAATAGAATAGA